TGCATAGGTCACCCTGCTATGGTGATGCTCGCAGCGTAGTGATATAAAACACTAATTAACAATACTACCTGTACAGTTCTACTGAAATAATACACAGCAGTTTGACACTGGAATTGTCCCTGACCATGGTATAATCAGTTTTTTTGTTTTGTTTTTTAAGGTTAATAAATAAATACACGTCACTAATGATGAAAAACTATCTACTTTATTTATTTGTAACATTTTCTCAAATTTAAAAGTTTGTTTATATCAGGGTCCCATTGCGTGATAGAGCCACCATCCAATCACTGCAGTTTAGTCAAGAAGTTTAGCCTCCCTGAACTTATTTCCCTGGCACATTGTCTGTAAAAGTAACTCTCTTTTTCATTATCTGCTTTTGGAGTGAGCGGAAATCCATTTTAGACTTTAATTAAATGCTTGGAATAAATTGTGAAGCTTTAAATATAGTCACTGCTTCTCCAGATATCAGGCTTCTACCTAAATGAAAAACTGCATTGGATTTCTATTGCTGCTGAAGTTTAGTTATATTGAATAAACAATAGTGAATGTGCATATACGTGTGTTATTGTATTCGCTTAAAGGTCTTATATTACACAAAATTGACTCTTATGAGCTTTTAGCCATGTTGTAATATTGTTACCTCCTCAAAACCATACCTGGAGTTGTGTTGGGCTTAGATGGATGGATGTTTGAGTAAGTCTTTATTATTAACCTACATCTACATCTCCAAAGCTCAAAATGCTCTGTGCCATGTCATGAAGTGGAAGTTTTGAAGTTATCAGCTGTGAATGAAACAAAACAACTCCATATATGTTTTTGAGGAGAAAACAACATTATAACGTAGATCAGAAAGTAGAATAATATGAACCTCTAAGTGTGACAGGGAAAACTAAACGCTCTGACTAAACGCAGTATTTGAATGGACTCATAATGCATAGCCATGAGTTTTAATTAGCTGGCAATGGTGCACTTGGTAATTAAAACAGATTGTTGGAACAAATGCCATTGCCTGCTGTTGTGCCATAGTTAGCCCATACACAAACATATGCTTTATTAGTAACAATAAAAACAGCATTCTCTGCACATCTATCAATCTGTGCTGTTAAACAATGGATTGATATTTGGGGATTGTAAAGTTTAGACTCATTTTCATATAACCATTTCATTCTCTTTCACTCTTTCTCTCGGTTGGATCTTTTAACTACTAAATGTAAAATTTGACACTGAGCAATGACACTGAGCGTAATCTACACCAGATGCCCTTCCTAACATGCCTGAGGAAATAATTCTGAAAAATCTATGCAATTACTGAAGCAGTTTTATCAAGGTTGACTTTCTTATGGCTTTTTAAAGTCTTTTTAACCAAGAGGTCCACAGCCAATCCACTGTCAGTAAAGGCATGCAGTGGAACAAAGAAATAAGAAAAATCAAAACAAAATCATCTTGGTACATTTGTGATATTGTCCACTGCTAAATTGATATTATTTTTATTTAGATTTCTTACAACAGAGTCAAGGAAACCCTTTCTTCCAAATGCAATTCTATTCCTCCTATAACAACTTTATAAACCACTGAAAGACTGTTTTGTGTGCCTCATATAAACAACTCCTTCCAGCATTATTTACAAATTGTCTTTTTTTTTTTTTTAATGCTTCTGCTGTGTGGTTGGCAGTTCAATCCCAGATCTAACAACTAGAGCATACAGGCAGTTTGTCCTTGAGCAAGACACTTCATCTGTCATAGTATAAATCATCATAAACAAACAGCTTCAGTTCTGCAACTCCTAGTTCCCTCATATTGATTGATTTATTGATTCCTTTATTGTTATTTAATGGTAAACAAAAACAATTATCAACTCTGTCTGATGCAGACACAGACAAGATCGCACTGTGAAGCCAAGACACTGTACATACAGTATGACAAAACACATCATTAGGTCCTGAAGGATCACAACATTTATGGCAGAGAATTGTTTATGCCATCGCAATGACTTTGACCATCAAATGTGCTCATGCTGACACACCTCTGCTCTGAGACAGCAATGTTGTAGGAAAAAACTGCGTGTCTTGACTATCCTCTATCCGTCAGCCCTTAAAAGTTGCTTACATATCAAAGCAGAGTGACTTTTGTTTTTGTGCTAATCAAGACAATACAGAGTTTCCTGTGTGGTTAGGACAGTTGTGTCTGCTGAGGCTTTGCATATTCTAATGCAGGGGTCTCCAACCATTTTCCTCCAGTGAGCTACCTTTATAAAACAAAAATGCCATAGAGCTACTAGTTATAGCAGTCACAAGAAGTTCAGTATACAGTATAACAGAGCCACAGCAAGCCTTAGATGAAGTACAGTTAGATTAGGGTGACCAGATGTCCCGATTTATTCGGGATAGTCCCAGTTTTGAGCCTTGTGTCCCCTGTCCCAGCAGATTTATACAAAACCAGTGATTTGTCCCAGTTTTATACAAGAAATGTCCCAGGTGTCACTATTTTTGACCAATTTGATCCCTGTCAACAGTAAAGAGAGGCATACATTGCCCTTTGTTTAGGTAAAATACAGAAAAGCTGCTTAAAAATGACCAAAACACAAAGAAAATGTCACTAGTCATGAATGGACAGAGTGCAGAAAAGTTTTCCTTAATTACACACTCGTTTCACAATTCTGTTATTACCAACCACCTCAAACAAGGGATGTCTTTTTGTTGGTTTTGAAAATCCGGTCACCCTATGTTAGATGCCTGTAAGGCATAAACTTTATCCTTTTATTAGTGAACAAAGTTTGGCATTCAAATGATACATGTACAATTGTCATTAATCAAATTTGACTTATTCAGGACAATACATGTAATTCAGAAATCCCCTGGATATGATTTGATTGGAAGGAGGTGGAGAGCTACCAGAGACAGGTTGGAGATTCCTGTTCTAATGACTGGTCTGATTCTCAGGTAGAAATCACATTAATTTACACAAAGACAGATTGAGAAAAGTCTTTCTACTATATAAATTTCCATCACAGAGACTCCACACTATTTAATGAACGTTATGGACCAATTTGGTTGCGTTGTATATATTTTGTATTCCGTTAATTCTTTTCTAATTCTACTGTGGACTGAATCATATTTTTGTCTGAAATAAAGAATAATAATAATTGGAGAAGAACTATTTTTTAGCCTTGAAATGTGCTTATCATCACTATGTAAATATAACCTTATCTAAATTAATATAAACTTTTTCACCATTTCATAGTTTATTCTGCAAACGGACGATTCCAACTTTAATTATTCGTTTAGTTTTGACATTGTGCATTTTTAACACACAAATATGCACATAATGAAATCTTAAACGCAACTGTCTTCTGCTCAGCGGGGAACTCATCTGATGAAGTGGCATTACAATTACAGTGACATGCATTTAATCACACCTCCAGTTATCATTAATGCTTCCTGTGTCAAATTAGTACAAACGAAACGCTCACTTTCTCCTCGGGATTAGCTTTTATCCCTTTAGCATCCAAATGGCTTTAACACCTTTGATAGCAATGAGATAAGGAGGCTAGGCTAACTTGTCACATCCAATCAACATTTCATGCATTTATAGTTGGCACAGTTGGAGCAAACTTGTGAAATGGCCCCTCCAACTATCTTTCTACAGCCCAGGGAGCGTCGAAGTGGACTTGATGGTAACTACGTGAGACAGAAGTGGCGAGAGCAAGGGGAGTTTGACACCGCATGCCCTCTCATCACGCCCTAGTATATATTGCTCAGTGTTACTCGTGCACACTAGCTCCACGTCTCCCCGTCCCCTCCCGTCTGTGAGTTATAATGTGTTTTTGTCACGGCTTGTATCCAGCCACAATAAAAGCAAATCAGGTTAGGACACAGAGGGTTATGAGGCTAGCTGTTTGTTGGTGAGGATGGTCAAGGAAATTCTATAGACAGAATGAAAGAAAGAGATCCGAAAGAAATTGTTGGATTATTGACAGGGGGCTTTACAATTGTTCCAAAATGCAATAAATAAAAATGCAATGCAGACTTATTTTTTGTACCTAGCTTTATGTATTCTGTGTGTATATGTGGGTAAAACTGTACATGTTTGTGTGAGGTGTATGATTGTGTGTGGTCGGGCAGTTGTGGAGGTGGATGATCATGTGGGACCGTTTTTAATAACAGCAAAAGTGAAAAGTGCTTCATAAATAAAGTGAATAATGATTGGAATTGCATCAAAGTTAGGTGTTGAGGCTTATAATATGACAGCTATATATAGCAAGTTGGCAGGCTTTGGTTTGCCATAAACAACTGACACTGAATAAAAATACATAAGGCCAATATAAAAAATAATAATAAAGTTAATTTTTTTGTAGGGTTAACAAGGCATATCTGCCAGTCATGAACTCTCTTTATGTTTTCTGCACATCACATAATTGCTCAGCATTAAAAATGTTTTTGTTAGATTAAGAAGCTAGTGGTTGAGTGAAGAGAAAAAGTAAAGACTTTATAAAAATAAGACCTCCCAGAGAGGAAAGGAGCTTTGAAAAGCTGTAAATGTGGTTTGTGTTTAGTGGCAGGTGTATCAGAGCCAGGGAACCATGTGTTTACACAATGTGAGAGAACAGTTATTTACAGCAGGGCAAGTCAAGTGTACTCCAAGACAATACGAAAAATGTCACTTCATGATTTTACACTCACTGGATAAAGTCAGTGGGCTGTCAAATGCATGCTGTTTTATATTAGAGTTAAAATTATATTATATTAGAGTTATATTAGAGTTTAAAGTATGCAGACTATGCCAAGAAATAAGAAATAAGAACATATATATATATATATTTATTTTTACTTTAGCAAATGACATTTAATATGAGATGTACGGTGGAAGTCAAGAAAATACTAGTTAATAGCAGTATAGATAGTATAGATTCTGTATGTTAATGTTATTATTAATGTCAGATTTGTTTTGTTCTTAAGGTCTTTTAATTTTTTAGTAAATTGCAAAGTCGATGTCTTTCCTCCTGGTGAAAGTCGGTCAGACAGCTCCGCTGTGTGGCCACACGATGTTACTGCAGCAGCCGGAGCGTTTACAGCTGCTAGGCAACAGTCCCAGTCACTGTGAACTCACTTGTAGCGGACTCACTTCACTTCAGGACCTAAACATGGAGAAATCTGGAAAGGAAATGAAAGATTTGGTTAAAGAAAATGCCATTCACATCGAAACAATAAAGAAGGAGCGCAGGCACCAAACACTGTTCACGGAGTTCAGCCTGAATCCACGCACGAAACGTGAGTAGTCCGTCTGTGCGTCTGTTAGATCACCCATGCTGTATGCAAACAGCGTTAGCAGACGACACACAGGCCTGCTGTTACAAGATGAAATCGTATTTTAGTAGTTTATTTTGGACCCATGGAGACACCTGTCTCTCTTTTGGTTGTTCTGCACAGTCATTTAGGCCTCTGTTCCCACTTTCCACACAAAAGGAACCTTTTCAGTCACGATAAGAGTGGGATTTAAATATCTTGGAAAATATAATATTCCACTTTCTCACAGAGAAATAAAGACTTTTTGGTATATATAGGCATTCAAACCTATAGCTATTCTAATTTACAATTAATAAAACACTAAACATTAAATCAATTCAACAATTTGAGGTGGTCATCCTAAATGATCCTCTTTCAGAAAGTTTTCCTCACACACTCCTCTCTTCACAGTCCATGTCCTGCCTGATAAACCCATGTCCAGGAAACCCCCGGAGGTGGTCACAGAGAACGGCAAGTGGCTTATTGATAAATATTTTGTAATAGTAACCTACTATTAAATATAATAATATAACAACCTGGAACTCGTTAACACATGTTGACTAAAGGTGCACTATGCAACTTTTCTTGATGGTTGACGCTGTCTCCTGCAAGCCTCATCTACATTATATTATAATTTATTTGCCTGGACTGCACACACATTAGATCAGTGGAGAAGTGACCCCGCTTGCACTTAGAATACACCATTTTCAAAATATTCTGGAGCACACTTGTAATTAAATAGATTTAAAATAGACAAGTTTAATCCCAAACTGGAACATTCCAGGCTAAACAATAACATATCCATGGAGAAAACCTTTTCCAAATAAAGGTACATAATGCACCTAGACCTGACTGCTAGACACCACCACAGTAACTTTGTCTGATGCATTTATGTTCTAGCTGATTTTATCAAAGCTTTTCATAAGGCTCGAGAGGAACCCACCAAAAAATACAGCATGCCACAGACAGAGAGCCAGGAGATGGGCTGGGTCTCTACTCCTCTGGTGAGAATGACAAACATGTGCCTTTCATATTTTATATCGTTTGATCACTAATTGTCCTGTTACTTTCAGATAATTGTGGACCGCACTGACCGAAGATTTAACTTTAATCGACTGAGCACAGATGTCACCATTCACAAGGAGCTGGCTCTTCGAAAAGGAGCTTAATGAAATAACATGTTCACCTGGAAAATCTTCAGTATTTTTATTATTCCAATAGTTGATCATGAAAAAAAAAAAAAAAAAATCACAGTATATGGAAGTATTTGCAAGTTAGAATAATGAGAAAAACTGCAGTATTAAGAACTGTGAATTTGAGTCAAAGCATACCCAACAGCAGACACAATTTAATGTAATGGCATACCAATTAATAATTAATGAAGATTTGGGATTTTTACAATGTGCACTTCACCTTCAACAGTACAGCAAATTGCAAGAAATGATGGGTGATAATATTTGTATGCAATTCCGTTTCCTGTCCGTAAATATTCCTCTTAGAAGGCTTTCAGAGGCTGTCCTGGTTCTCTGGTTCCTTCTTTTGGGAACCATATAAAAACATTTTTGTGAAGTCCGCAATCAGCTTCAATCCTCAAAGGACATATATATATATCAAACATGTATAAAATCCCACTTTAAGTCCATGTTTAGCTTAGTGGCTAGTATGCACCAAGCCTCATGACCGATTTTTCATTTTTCTTCTGACTGACTTGCCCGGACGTTTCTGAGGAAAAAGATATTAAAACACAGTATTAGTTAAATGTACAATATGTAACTTTTTGGTTGGAGGCCTGCCACCTGCTTGTTTCTATGATATGTCATTGCTCTGCCTGGAATGTTGCAATTAAAACAGCTCTACCTTAGTTTTATTCAATTACAGATGTTTTTACTGCTCAAAGTACCGTATTTTTCGGGCTGTTAGACACGCTCTTAAGCCTCTAACCCCATCAAAAAACGTCCGCGCGCCCCACAATCCAGAGCGCCCCATACACGAATCCACTCGAGTGTCCCAGCACGACTTCAGTAAACTACAAAGCCACACCAGCCACAGCGCACGCAAACACGCAAGGAGCAGACAGCCACCGTGCAACGAAAAACACCCGCAGCCACACTCCACACAGATGAGGAACGGCATAGCACCCTCCCTATGCGCCACAATTGAACCATCGAACTGTTGTGTTTCGTTTAAAGTCCAGTGCGATTTATTTGTGAAAAAAGTTCTAAAATAGACCATTTAATGACAGTGCGTCTTGTAATCCAGAGCGCCTAATAGCTTGTAAAATATGGTACCTTAAAAAAACAGGCATTCTGACTGTGCAGGGTTGCCTCTCCACAGATCTAACCTGTAACTTGGTCTGGTTTGGTCTCCATAATGATAAAAAGGTTTAATACCATACTAGAAAACATTCCAGACAATGCAATAACATCTCCACGGAGAAAAGCATTTGACGGACCCTCCACCAAAAAAGTTACACAATGCACCTTTAATAATTACGACTACTAGCATTTTTATTTAGCAGTTAAAACAACAACTGCCTTTAAACCTTGATACTCACATTCTGTTTGCCACCTTTTCCTTTCTTTCCTCCTTTTGAACCTTTCCCGTGGGCGACTTTAGCTCGAAAACTGGATACGTCATTGTAGCTCTCTTTGGTGTTCCACTTTGTTCCACTCTTTTTTCCACCAAAACCAAACTTCTGGTCTTTGAATTTCCTCTTTGCATTGGGCCTGTGTAGTTGTTATATTAATGTTAATAATGATTAAAAACTAAAATGCAAATCTACAAGACAAAATAAACTGTTCATTTCTTACCCCTTTTTATTTGCTGCTTTCTTTGAGACCTGAGAAGGTTCTTTGCCTGCTTTCTGGTCTCCTTCCAAAAATTCCAATTTGTCTGTCATTCCTAAAAATAAATAAAACATTAAGCCACATGATTCTCTCTCTCTTGCAATTCAGCAATTATGTGTATATATATATATGTATATGTATATATGTGTGTGTGTGTGTATATATATTACCTTTCTGATATTTTTTCACAGCTGACATCATAGCCTTCTTCTCCTTCTGTCTCTTCTGCATCACCTCAATTTGAACCTAGACACACAAATATGTATTAAATACTGTGGTTTAGTAATTCAAAACACCAAGTGAAATTTCCAAACATTAATTACACCAATCAAAAACCTGTGTTTTCTAACCAACCTTTTTGCCAAACTTCCTTTGTTCACGAAGCTGTTTAGCCTTTTCTGACCGTTCTATTATGCTCTGTTTTGCAATAAGCTTTTCCGAATCTGTAAAACAAAAACACTATCAGCACAATTGATTTTCAAAAATATGTTGCAAAAACACATAAGAACAGAAAGGACAGTACCGACCTTCTGCATCTGTTGGTCAGATTTTGCCATCTCTGCAAAATAGTCATCAGGCCTCTTTGTGGCAATGCCATGTTTGTTTAGAAGTGGCAACGCTTGTAAGACTGTAGCTTGAGCCTGACGATAACTGCAAGTAAAGTGTACATTTAAAAAATTGCATTGGCATGTGAGTAAGTGTGATGTTATTTATATTACTATGTCCATTTAATTCCTAATTCTGCACAATAAAAGCAATATAAATGCATTGTATGTTTTTAAATTATAGCACATTCCTAGGTAGTCAATTTTGAAAATACAAATTTAGCCCTTTCCTTTCAGTGCTGCTCTAGACTTTACAGCAGTGCAGATCTAGATATGGAACTTGTCAGGTGCATGTATTGACTTTGAACATTTCCAAAAATAAAAAGAACAGATATCAATGAGCACTGGCCAAGTGGTACTTACAAAAACATTTCTCTTTCAAAGTCGTCATCTGCATTTATTTCTTTGTTTGAAGGTTTAGGCTCTCTCCCTTCAGCTTTTGCCAAAACATCTTCAGCAGGTAAGTTTGTGAAGTCTAACCGCTCCACCCAGGGCAGCTCTTTACGAAAGTCTGCAAGGCACTGCTTCAGACCCTCCTGTTCACAGCACAGAGTCAAAAACAAATTGCACAATGCAAAACAATATTATTTCATTCCCTGCAGTTGGTAAAATTGTCACAAGAAGTGTTATTTACCACATTGTTTGAAAACTTCTTCTCTTTATCAACCATCACATTCATGCCAGGTTTAAGCAGACCTTTGGAAAAAGCTTCTTGGAGCTGAAAAACACAACAGCGGAAAACATATTTATTGTAACCATACACCAAATTATGCATAAGGCAGCACGCATCCATGAGAGTAGATTTAGTAATAAACTGAACGACGCTCGGTTGTTAATCACATTTACCGGTGAATTTTTTAAATGTTTTATTTAGCTTAAACATTAATTTGACCCATCATGTTATGTCTTTCTCGTCGTTAACCACTACAGTTCGCATAGCCTTCGTGTTAGCATGCTAATGAAAACTAACCTCTCCATCTGATAATTCACTGCCCTCTTCCTCCTCCTCTGAGTCCGGGCCGAGCTCTGCGTGCTCTTCTGTCGTCTCCATTATGTCACTGTCGATAATCATAAGGAACTGTTCTGAAATATGAAATCTAAACACACTGCTTCAGTCCTGCACGCCACACATGTACAGAGAATTTCACGTGGAGCGGAAGCTGCTAGATACAACATCCGGTTTATGCGGGTTGCCAGATCAGTTTTCCGTTTTCAGTAGCCTACAAGAAACCTTCCATGTTTTCGATGGCATACTTACTAAACCAGCCAGGCGTTTAAATTAAACTACCGTAAATAAAATAAGCCTGATGATTGATTGATTAATTAATTTAATACAAGTATAAACGTTCTTTGTTTCTTTCTTTCTTTATACAATCGTACACAATTAGGTCAAGTAATGTGCTTAAAGTTTGCACAGCTTCCAATATATCTGTATTTATAGCACAAGGATGACCAAAGTGCTTTACAAATTCAAAGCTTAATTGAATAAATAAATAAATATAAATAAATATATATATATATATATATATATATATATATATATATATATATATATATATATATATATATATATATATATATATATATATATATATATATATATATATATATATTATTTATTTATTTATTTATTTATTTTTTATTGTGTTGTGTTGTGTTGTGAGTCCAAGTCCTTTGATTCTGAGTATTTGCCTATAGGCTACCGAGTCCCGATCCGATACTTCTAATCTATAACATCGTAAAATAAACAAAGAGGAAAGAATAAGATGCAGGATGTGTGCGGGATCAGATTGTATTGATTTCATGTGTTGTATTTGGGCTGAAATTGAAATCAAATGTCCAAAACTCAAATGTTTTTAGTAACTTATCTAACCATGCACCATCATTGTTGAAAATCTTGGCTTTTCAAGTCTGGTCTTGGAAAGTGTAACTTAGTAAACTTAATGAACTGGACACAACAGGAACCAGACCAGAATCAGATCAGACCTGAGACTAGACTCTGCATAATCTATAGTTTGTACATTTGATATTATATGGAAGCCTGTGCATTACATTTGAAACATTTAGGCTCGTCTATGAAATCCAAATAATACAAAATCTTTCCAAATTAAAATGAGATAACAGAAGCCCCACATCCTCTCTCCCCCGGCCGCCCCCACTCCCCCGCACCGCCACCACATCCACAAACCCACATATTACATCCACAAACCCACATATTGCCAGCTCCGCTGCGCAGCAGCCGTGCGATGATGCCGTCGGCCGCGTAGGTGTGAACACGGGCCACAGAACCACAGGTAACAAGGCCCAAGCACGGCACGTCTCAAAAGTCCCCGCGTAAGTGCGCCTTGCTATGTAACCATAGGAACCGTTACCATAGCAACCATTACCATAGCAACCGTTACCATATCAACAGTTACCATAGAAACCATTACCACAGTAACTGTTACCATAACAACTGTCACCATAGCAACCGTTACCATACAACTGTTACTATAGCAACCATTACCATAACAACTGTAAGCTATGAGTGTCAACTGAACGTCTTTTGTCATTTGGAGGCAGTTTGGGGCCAAAACGTGACATGGCCAAAAATGACATTTTTCGACAGGACCGGCCCTGTCTTTTCAGTTCAAATTTGACCAAATTTTCAAAATTGTCCAAAGTGGCTGGGGGTTAAGGTTAGGGTTAGGGTAATTTTTGGCCATGTCAAGTTTGGGCCCCAAATGTGCCTAAACTCTTAACCCTAACCCTAAATAGGCGGCAAGGTCAAAATTTCGTCACTCTGTCTAATACAGTTCATGAGTATTGATCATTGTAATTATTACCACCATTCCTCACCATAACCCCACTAAACCTAACCCTAACCTCTAACCCTAACAAAAAACCTTAAACCTTTACACTAACTCAGACCATGTTAGGTTTTGGCCCCAAACTGAATCCAAATGACAAAAGATGCTCTAATGTGGACATCTGGGGTGGTCTGAGGTTTTTTGGGAAGTTTCCAGCCAGTTTGGAGCATTTTGAAAATTTGCTGAAATTTGAGCCGAAACCTGACATGGCTGGTCCTGACGAAAACATGTAATTTTTGGCCATGTCAGGTTTTGGCCCCAAACTGCCTCCAAATGACAAAAGATGCTCGAATATGGACATCTGGGGTGGTCTGAGATTGTTTGGGGACATTTCCAGCCAGTTTGGGGCATTTTGAAAATTTGGTCAAATTTGAGCCGAAACCTGACATGGCCGGTCCTGACAAAAAATTTCATTTTTGGCCATGTCAGGTTTTGGCCCCAAACTGCCTCCAAATGACAAAAGACGCTCTAATATGGACACTGGGTTGGGGTTTAGGGTTATGTTTAGGGTTAGGGTTATTTCCGGTTAGGGTTAGGGTAGGGTTAGTGTTAGGGTTAGAGGTTAGAGTTAGGGGTTAGGGTTTGGGTTAGGAATTGGGGTAATATCCACAATACTTGGTCATCCTATTTTAGGGTTAAGGTTACAGTTAAAGTTGGGGTTGGGGCTATGGTTAGAGTTTACAATTAGGGCTACTTTTAAGCTTGGAGTTAAATTTAGGGTTAGGCCTAGCATTAGGGTTTGGGCTAGGGGTTAGAGTTGTGGTTGAGGTTTGCGGTTATTAGGGTTATTGTGGGTTTCTCTGTTCCAGGGTGCGGCGTAGGTGCACGCAAGGGCCTATCATTGCCACTTGCAGCTATATTATTAATATCATGTGTAGGGGCCAAAATGCACCTCCTGCCACTGTGTGGCACTGTGTCTTTGTTTTCTGTGGGTTGTTGCCTATTTAAGACCATTAATTAGCAATGCCAGGTGTTACAAATTGATGAAGAACAGTCTTTTGACCGTGTTCACAGCTCATGCTAAAATAAAGGAATATTTGAGGTTTTACTGGAGTTTTGGGCTCATTTATATGAAAACACGCATCAGAAATACCATTTAAAATTTGCATCCTAGAGGCTTGTGTGGCATAGGGCCACACTGCCCCTATATTATGATTATTAAAACAACTTCTTGAGACATGTTTGTAAAATTTATTAAAATTTTTTTATTGTAGTAAGCAAACTTTCAGAATGGGGGGGGGTTGTTTTTGTTTCATGCCGTTGGACTCTAAATCTATGCTGACAGAATAAGTAGCATACGTGTGTCTTCATCCCTCACATGCTAGCCTCCCTGCAAATGTAGACCCCAGATGTACAACACAAAGAAATACACGGCAACATTTCAAAATTTCTGACGCCCTTCCTTGGGTGAGTGTGGCATGTGGCTGCATGCTCCAGTTAAATCATTCCTTGGCCATGTGTACAGCGGTGTTTCACTTTCGTGTATGCACTATTGACTACATACAGCAGGGGGCAAAATTTGTGTATGTGTGTGTGCGTGTGTGTGTGTATGTATGTATGTCTATATATATATATATATATATATATATATATATATATATATATATATATATGGCTCTGTCTCCCTCTGGTGGTCAAAGCTGATGGTACATATGTGGTGGTCAGTGCAGACACATGGTGCACACACACATACACACGTGCTCTATGTATAGGTCCATTTGACCTGGTCACATAAAAGCCATGTGACCTGGCATTACGTTGTCTCCGTTCTTTGAAAACAGTTTTAACCCCACAGGGGTACATTTGCACATTTAATTTGAGGATAGCATAAGGGATAAAGCAACACACAGTTTGCAGAGGTCAGTCTCATTACACCCCATATTGAATGTAAACAGTTTTTGACGTCTAATGAAAATTTAAGCACCACATTTACCCTTTCTAGTTGTGTTCCTTATCTCCTCTTTTCTCCTGGCCTCTGTCTCATCTGTGCATCCCCCCTTCTCCTCTCGTCTTTTGGCCTCTATCTCATCTGTGCATCCTCCCTTCTGCACCTGACAATGATTAGAGCCGAAAACACAAATGAATGGGAGGGAGCCGGGTTGCCAGCTCAGACAGAGGACATCCACAGAATCTTTAAGGGAAATGCGACGTCAACTTCTATCAGCGCTAAAAAGCCTGTGAGCACAGAGCAGCAGCGCCGGGCCCATGCATAATCACCTTATTATATCCCTTTGAATAGAAAAGTGAATTGATCTGATTAGAAGGGGGAGAAGAGGGGAGAGTGGGAGGGAGGGAGGGAGAGAGAGAGGGGGGATGCAGAGGAGAAGGAGTGGAGAAAGGATGGAGGAAGTTAAAGGAACAAAGATGGGAGGATTTGCTATTGACAATGTCCTTTGAGTTTACTGTAGACACTGAGTGTATCTTGAAGACCTCCAAAAAGGCAGTGATCCAGAGTCACATGGAAAAACTTATAGTTCAACCAATGCTTTACTTTATGTAAGTTTTTTCTGCCTCATACAAACAATTATTATTCATAAAAGTTAAATACTGAGAAATTTAGTCTTCACTGTTTGTCACTATATTTTTTTTATTTAAAGGTGTAACTTTTCTGGTGGAGGGTCTGCCAACTGCTTGTTTTCATGGAGATATTATTGTTTTGCCTTGATTACACTTAGTAATCACAATAGAGACAGGTTAATGGTCAGATCTGTGGAGAAGCAAGCCTGCATGTAAAGAATCGTGTTTGAGCTATAAAACATCTGTAACTGAACCAATATCAGGGAAATATTGTGGAACATTCCAGGAAAGAAGTAACATCTCCATGGAGAAAAACAAGTAGAAGATCCACCTTTGAAGTTACATAGTGCACCCTTAATTATTTTGTGTTAATCTCAAGAATATATTTTGAGTTAGGCTACTCAAATTGTATATCTTCATTTTATACAAATAATTCATATGCAAACAGGTGAAATATTTATTTAGAGTCAACATTCATTTTATGAGAGTAATTGATGACAAAGAAATTGAATCAGCGACCCACCCAGCTGAAATTTGTATAATCTTTGTGAAACTATAGCTCAACTAACACAATAAAGTAAATGTCATTAAACCAGTTTTTGGATATTTTGACATCAGAATAATTTGGGGTTAATTTGGGGAGGGGGGGGGCCCAGCCTGAAAACTTTGGTGACCCCTGTACTAAGCAATCACTGCAGAAAATAGAAAATTTTACATGTTGCAAAGTAGTTGTTTAGAGACACCTGGTGGTGAAAGTGTAAATTACATCTCCAGTCTTCAAACCTTCTCAGACGTTCATAT